TGTGCCAAGGTCAGTGTGTGCGTGGAATGGAAATCATTCTCAACAGACCCGAGTGCTGATCCCATTTATACTTCTGCTCAATATTTAGCTCGTGCACAAGTGTTGGCAGGATTAGAGCCTTCGTGATCCTTTCTGCTCGGTGAGTGTTGCCTTGGGAGTCCTGCTTCCTCCTGGTGGAAGTGGTGGACTTGAAGATGTCTCGTTCATTATGGCCCATTAACATCACGTTCTGTGTGACAGGGTAGAGGAGCAGTTTTGAATGGGCTTAAACAGGTCTGAATTCCCACTGCCCACACCCAGATCCTGAGCAGGGAAGGAGTTGAGGGGGTGGATGCTCTGGTCAGTTATGCCCGTAGCTCCCGTCCAGGTAAGAGCAGCCTTCGCTCAGCTTTCTCTGCTGCTCGTGCTGTGCTCTGCAGGCAGGATTTATCCCTCTGACCAGGCTGGGAGAGCAGGACAGGGCGTGCTGTTTGTGCCATCTTTCCTTTAGGAACACTATTTTATCAGTCGCGGTGAGGCCAGTGTCTTCAAAAATAAGTGTGAAGTTTTGGGGTTGTTCTGAAATGGATTGCCTTGTCCTCGAAGACAGAAGTTATGGGGATGAAAGTTGTCGGTTCCTGCGCCTCACCTAGGTAGAAAAGTTAGTGATAGAAAGGAGAATTAAGCTTGCGTAAGTAGAAATGTAGTTCTTGCTGAAAATGATCTGTGCTTTTTTATCCACACATAGGGAAGAAAAAAATGTTTTTACTTTCAAGTTTATATCTTGGTTTCCTAAGCAGGGTTACTTGACAGGTGGTGAGTCAGAGGAATAAACACATCCAGTCTGAGTGGCTGAGGAGCAGGTCCTGTCATTCCTAATACACTGCCTAAACTTCCAGGAGGACTGCAGGAGGAATTTCAGGGAGACAAATTGTCCTTGAGTACGATTAGGACTGTCCTGTGTGAGCTGTTCCTAGGAAGATTCACAACCCGTTCTTTTCCCCGGAATTTATGTGGAAGCACTAGATTCCTACCTACTTCCTCTGCTTCATAGCTGCTTTGGCAAGGGGGAGGTAAATGGGCCATAAAATGGGACCAGGATTGCGATGAAGGAGGAGATGGAAATTTTTTTTGTGGGTCTTGAAGATCTGAAGGAAAAAAAAAAAAAAAATTCAAGAAGTTTATACT